CCACTCGCACACTTCAATACTTTCGATATATGATATCCATATGTGCAGTTGCTGTATTTTTTCCTTGACTACAAACTGAGAAAACAAAAATTTTCGTGTTTCTCTAAAAGCAATGCTGAGCCGTTCTTGCATATGTAATTCTATACTACAAGTTTAGGTAAGTATAACTACAGATTTTCAGCCCATTCCGAGCAGTACTTTTCGAGAAATGTTGCTTTTAGCACTGAAACTGAAAAGAAGAAAGCTGATTTCGATATTTCTCGAAAACTACTGCTCGGAATGGGCTGAAAATCTGCAGTTATACTTACCTAGGCTTGTAGTATAGAATCACATATGCAAGAACGGCTCAGCATTGCTTTTAGAAAAACACGAAAATTTTTATTTTCTCAGTTTGTAGTCAAGGAAAAAATACAGCAACTGCACATATGGATATCATATATCGAAAGTATTGACGTGTGCGAGTGGGAGGTCCGTAGAAATTATTTGGACGAAGTTTGGATATCTTCAGATTTTGAGTTCGAACATTCCGTGGATCGAGCTTGGCGCAAGATTATGAACGCCATCTTGTAGAGCTTGCTTTGCTCTATCGAACAATACCCATTACCCTTTGTTGGGTCGAGTGTAATTGCTCTGTTAAAGCAAGCAAATAAAAAACGACATTATTTTCTTGACAACCTAATAAAAGAGTGCTTCATAAATAATCATTTTTTAGAATAGTTTAGACCTCGCTAAAAAAAATTGAAATTGTTGTGGTTATATAGAATGATCAGTGTACTCTTTCAATACGTTTGAGCGTGGCATTAGCACTCAAATTATTTCAAGAAAGTTGTTTTTCAATTACCGCACTCGCTTACCCCTTACCGAATTCCAGTCCCAGATGACAGGAGAAATATTTTGATGCAGGATTTAGGAAAAATAAAGATTACCTTGTTTGAATCAGCATACCAACTTACACCTTTCTAATCCGAAGTTCTAAAAAAACGAAGTATTGGATATTCTCACAAAAGTTACTACATTCGTAATCAGCATGCTCGACTACCCCCCCCCCCCCTGTGCCAACTCCCAGCCTCGTAGCTCAAACTTTGCAAAAAATCGATAAAATCGATAAAATTAATCGATAATTTTGAAAACTAATATTGTGTTCGTAATCAGCACGCTCGATTACCCCCCTGTGCCAACTCCCAGCCCCGTAGGTGAACTCTGCAAAAAATCGATTAAGTCGATATCGATCGATGACGAAAAGTACGCTATGACACCAACCGGAGCCCGTAGTGTATGTGTGCCAAGTTTGGTCCGGATCGGTTCAGAAATGGAATTTTTTTTCGGACGAACGCTCATATTCCATCGCCTTGGCTCGGGAAATTGCGGCGTCGAACGGCTATGCTGTGCGTGAGCACGCATTCGGAGCCCGTGGGTCACGTCGGGGTGGAGCTCGTAGTGCGAGCAGTACCGCTGAGATCCCCTTCTGCTTACCGTGCAACTCCGATGAGTTGAGCAGCGCAGTGCGGCGATGCGTACAACACGCGGGTTTGCAAGGCGTGATAAGAGTGTCGATATCCCTTCAGCTAATCTCAAACGGCAACTTGTTCGAAACCGCGCTTATGATCGTACTTGCCCTACTCCCAATTGTGTTGTCTGCCCATTTGGTAAAGAAGGCGACTGTATGCAGTCCGGGATCATTTGTCTTATAACATCTTCCATGCGGAGACACATACATTGGCGAAACAGGACGTCCACTTTGCTGTCGCGTAAAAGAGCATGGAGATGGTTTGGAGAAGCTAAGAGCAGCTACGCCGCTAGGAAAACACCGTATAGTACGTCATAACAAATCTAAGGTACAAGTTGCAGTAAAAATCTTGTCGTATGAACCCGAGATCCTCGCTCGCAAAACGTTAGAGGCGTTTTGGATTAATGCCAAAAATCCAAAATTGAATAGAAAGGAAGAGTGTATCGCCATCACGCAGGAACTCGCACCTTATCAGTCCCTATGCGGATTTAAATATGAGGTTAGGTCATCTCGGCACATATAAAAAAGCTGAGGCATAGTCTTGTATATAGGTGGTCTTCTGACTTCCGCTTTCTGTTGTCTAAGGTTAGTATGGTTTTTGTGATTCTGACGGTGTTTTCTCATTTGCTTTCTCTCGAAGAGTATTCTAAGTCTTTTCTTGCCGTCTGAAGGAATGGGTTGCCTATGATCTCGACTTCCAGTCTCTGAAGAAGGCGAAAGCGCCGGAACGTTAGCCGTCAATAAAGAACTGTAACAATCTTGGAACAACGCTCACACACCATTTTCACAACTACCAGAGATAAAAATGCAAAAAGAAGACCATACAAACTTTGGTCATTTTAAGTTAGATCGTCAAAACTTGTACCGCTGCGGAAAATTCTGAAAACGTAAGTATAGTCCCCTACACAGATTGTGCTACCCTTGGTCTGCGTCTCAGACCTGCCACGTGTGGCTAACATGTTAGCAACGTGGCAACAACATGTTTGCAACATGCCCCAACATGTTGGCAGAACATTTTGGCCACGCCAACATGTTGCTGCATGTTGCCAACGCGTTGCTGCCAACGTTGCCAATGTGTTAGTCACACGTGGCACGTCCGCGACGCCGCAAGGGTAGCACGATCTGTGGAGGGGACGATACATACCCTCGATATCATCCCATATGTCTTCCATCAACATGGATTACGCGACTTGATGAGGCGCCGCCTCGCCTCGGGCTTGCGCCACGTTGCGAGGCATCATTTGGAGCACGTGGCGCTCAACACAACGTGGCGCAGGCTTTTCCACGTTCTTCTTGTTGCCACATCACGCCGAAAATGCGCACGCAACGTGGCGCAAGCCCGAGGCGAGGCGGCGCCTCATCAAGCAACGTAATCCACGTCATGTTGGGGAAGACATATGGGGTGATATCGAGGGAGGGTTTTTGACCTACTCTTTGCAACCGTGAAAAGTTTGTGCTATTTGGACGTCTCTGTAAAAAGTTACGAATTTCGACTTTACTACAGAAAATGCCAAAATTAATAAATTTGACATTTTTCTCAAAAATCATAACTTTTTACAGACATGTTCAAACGGCACAAACTTTTCACACTTGTAAAAAGTAGGTCAAAAAACCTATGTACTTACGTTTTCAAAATTTCCCGCAGCGGTACAGGTTTTTGACGACCTAACTTAAAATGATAAAAGTTTATACAGTCTTCTTTTTCCATTTTTATCTCTGCAGTCAGTGCAAAACAGAAGCTCGTCAAAACAGCATTCGAAAGCGAAAGATTTACTCTTTCGAATAAAAACAAAGTGAAGTAAATCCGTTGAGATAATGCAAAGTTATGATTTCCAAACATGAAACGACACTTTCGGGCTGACCTAATATAAGCCCAGGGAACTTATTTGACATGCTAATTACGAATATCATCTCTCTCTGAATATTGGGACCTTTTCATAGAGATGTGGTGGTAATATGGCTGGGGTCGAACACATAGATTTGCTTTGAACTTCGTCTAGGGTGGTCATTTAGCGCGCTGAACATGAATACGTTTAGGGTGGTCATTTAGCGCGCTGAACATGAATATCATACTGATTTCGCAGGGTGCATTTTCTTAGGTTACGGTGGGTGTAGACGGGTCAAAGTTCCAAATTTGCTCATTACCTTACCTGTAACGGTTCACAAGTATATCGCTTATGAATATGATGCTTGCTCGCTATCATAACCAATAGTGAAGTTATGATGAGTTGCAGGATTTGAATGGACATTTTTTCGCTTTCGGGCCAATTTAGATCCCAGATATTCAAGAGATGGAGAAACGGTCGTTTTTCGTAGCGATCTCCAGCGCCATCCTAATAACCTGTCCCAACGCGTAAGGCCCCGGACAGACTTCACGCGGCTTAAACGTCGCGATCTAAGCGCCAAGATTTCCATTCATTTTCATTTCATATTCAAAAATTTCGGGCTGGAAAAGTATCACAACCGAATGCAAGTCGATCGGCATGGAATGATGTTGTAACAGTTGTCTCGTCGCGATTCAGTCGCGACGATCAAATCGCGTGAAGTCTGCCCGGGGCCTAACGCACGCGGCAAATCTCCCCCCCCCCCTGTTCTTGCTTAGGCAAAAGCCGCCGAAGGGTGTCTCGCGCGCGGCAGTGGTCGGTCCTATAAGAGAAAGCATTACGGTCGTGGGGAACTTTTATACCACACGAATTGCCTTTATCGTGGGGATTGAGCACACGAAATTCTTGAAACAGCACTTTGGGCAATTTTCGGCCAAGGTTTTAGGCAGGTTCATGATTTTTACCTGCTGCCACGCGAAATGACTACGATGTTCGTCATCAGCGGCTTGAATAACCCCATACACCGAGTTTAAGCAAAATTCGTCACGAAAACGTTTTGGGGCCCGGATAGCCGAATAGCGCTATCAGTTTTTAGATACCCTTACTTTTATCGATTTTATTGTTGTTTTTTTTTGCAAAGTTTGAGCTGCAGGGCTGGGGGGTTGGTGAGGAAGGTAGGTGAGCATACTGATTAATCACACAGCGGGAATAGTGCATGTAACTAGAAGTGTGCACAGGTAAAAGTGTACAGGGATAGAAATGGAACCTTTATCGTTTTTGACAGGGTCGGGCAGAGCCGGGTAAGCCAGCTAGTAAATCATATACGTCCGTCTCCTGGGGAGATTCTCATAAGTGCAATATCTTTCAATCGGTATCAGACAGAACGGCCGTTGGCGTAGATTGCTCTCGCAGCGTTACGGGTTTGTGCTTTAAATGCGTGCGCCAGCATTGTTAGAAAGATCGAAGGAAATGAGAAGAGAATGAAGAAGTTCTACCGAGACCACCTTTGGCAAATCGCGTGACGCAAAACCATAGCGGTGCGGGGACGCATCATGTCATAGGCCCCAGATTAAACAGATTATGCGTGAGCTTGGAAATGACAATCTCTATGATGGCAAAAAACAGAAATCGATAAGTCTGCAGGTCAGCTACTAACATTTGAAACCTACCAATTATATGTCCTACCCAATGACTAGGTAGTATCTGCACGTGACAGAACGATTGACGAATTATCTCCAGGAGCAATTCATGGATTTCAATAAGCGCAGCTTCAACCGCCAGAGGAGTACCTGTGATGCGAAGTCTCAATGTACCGTCTCCTTCGCACAGCTCTATTTGTAAAATTACCTAAAATTAAGTATTAGTTGCATACTTTCACTTTATGCGTTACCTTTTTTTACTATTCAAGAATACGCAACCCAAAAATTTGAGGTCTCGGATTTTGCTAAACTTTGCATACAGGGGTTATTCGACGTGCTGATCACGAAAATGATTTTATTTTACATGAAAGGACTATTTTTATGGGGTTACGGTAGGTTTACGGTGCGGGTCAAAATCATAGATTTGGCTGAAACTTGGTCTAGGGGGGTTATTCGACACGTTGACCACGAATATCACATCCGTTTCTCGAGATAGCGCCATATGGTGGAGTTAGGTAGGTATACGGTATGGGGTCAAAACTTACATTTGGCTAAAACCTGGCTTAGAGGGCTACTCGACATGCTAATCACGAAGATCATACTATTTTCGCATGGAGGCCTTTTTACGAAGTTACTGTAGGTTTTGGTAGGGGCCAAAAATGGCAAATTTGCCTGAAACTTTATGTTTGGTGTTGGGTGTAGATCGTCTCGCCCTACCGTCATGCCTTTCATACAGGACCATCGCCTCGCGCGACACACTCTGCGGCGATTTGCCTAAACAAACATAGGGAAGGAAGATTTGCCGCGTCCGTACGGACGGACCGTATACCTACCATATCCACACAGTAAACGCCATTGTGAGGTAAAAACAGGATATTCGTGATCAGCATGTCAAATTACCCTTCTAGGCTAAGTTTCAGGCAAATCCACGACTTTGACCCCCATCGTATACCCACCGTAACCCCACTGACGCTATTTTGAGAAACAGATGTGCTATTTGTGGTCAGCGTGTCGGATAACCCCCCCCCCTAGACCAATTCCAGCCAAATTGGTTTTGACCCCCACCGTAAACCTATCGTAACCCCACAAAAATGGTCCTTTCATGCAAAATAAATATCATTCTCGTGATCAGCATGTCGAATAACCCCTGTATGCAAAGTTTTAGCAAAATCCGAGATTTTGAATTTTGGGGTTGCGCATTCTGGAATAGCGCCGCGTTTACCTTTGCTTCACCCTGTATCCTTTTCATATTGATCCCATTTCTGCCTATAAAAATCCCAAGATTTTTATCACACAGCAGGTTTGTTATATCAACGACTTTCACTACTGCCATTTGCCGTGGAAGCAGGAATTGCGAGGTTGTTGACTTGCTCAGCCTTAGCTGCTCCTAAAAGCTGTGTCCATGAAATCTTTTGAAAAATCTGTCCATAATCTCAAATGTGGTAGCACGGAAAGCTTTTAACGCGGCTCGTTTATGCTTCCAGGGGCGGTATGCATCAATCTCCCGTTTTGAAAGCGGGCGATCATTTTCAATAGGAAAATGATTGCCCGGCCGGGTTGGCCGCAGCTCGTACATTACGGTTCGGGCGGCCAACCCGGCCCCGCTTCCAAAACGGGAGATTGATGTATATCGCCCCAGGACTGCTGACATCCAGGGTTGAGGACAATCGCAAACGGAAAAAAGAGTGTGTATTTCCTCTTCACGATTGCTGCTAACCCTGCTCTACGTCTCTGACCTGCGGCACGCATGGCTAATTGTTAGCAACATGTTGCAACAGGTTGGCCTCGAGGGCAGTGTCCGGGTAAAGACGTATTCTCTAGTGACTGCACGTCAGGAGGTATGCCGCACGCGGCTGCCGCTCTGTCGCGCATGCCGCATTCAGTTTTTGAGGCCCACAATACACCCCGCTCTTAACGAATCTCGGCGGCAAAAACAAAGGGATAGAGGTGGGGGCAGATACATGACCGATGCCATGAGTAACATTGCACCAGGAACGCTGCTGTTGCATTGGCTGAAGCATGGTGCGGCGTTGCTTCGCGGAAAAATCGCGCCGATCACCTGAACGTTTCCCTTCTGGAGCAAACTCGCTTACCTGATTCAAGGCCCAACACAATGGTCCGGGGTCAAACTGAACTTCGGTTTGGAGTAAAAGGTCTACGGGCGGAGCCCCGGAAGAAAGTCGGTAACTCGGTCAGGTTCAACCGTTCAATGTGTTCATTCGCAAGCGCGTGAATTTCAAATGCAAGGCCCGAACAAAACGGGGTTGTTCACAGCGCACAAACAATCGCAGAACGCCGAATTGGAGCTAATATGTGTGTACAGTATTCCAAACTACAATATGAGAAAAGTTTTGAAAATTTATGTGTCGTAGTACCCGTCCCCGAATTTGTTGGTTTCCAGACCAATACAAAAACTGGGTTGGTTTGAAGCATGAACTTGAAGGGTTTAGATCAATTTTTCTTTAACTTTTCATGTCTTTTTGATTTGGACGATTAAAACGCTCAAAAATCTAATAAATATTGAAGAGAGCAAAGGAACGAGGAGCGCCTCTCCTCTTTTTGAACCGAAAATAGCATAAACATATAGTCGAGTAGATTCTCCGCCTAATATAGTGTGCTAGCACTGCAGTAAAATGCGGTAAAATTTGTCCGTGGTCACTAGCTACGCCAGTGAATACGCATTTTGCGCGCGCAGTTGGCCCGGCGTCTGACGTATCTATAGTTCCCTCCACAGATCGTGCTACCCTTGGTCGGCATCTCTGACCTGCCACGTGTGGCTAACATGTTGGCAACGTGGCAACAACATGTTTCCAACATGTCACAATATGTTGGCAGAACATTTTGGCCACGCCAACATGTTGCTGCATGTTGCCAACGTATTGCTGCTAACGTTCTCAACGTGTTAGTCACACGTGGCACGTCCGCGACGCCAGAAGGGTAGCACGATCTGTGGAAGGGACGATACAGTCGAGTAGATTCCCGCTTAATATAGTGTGCCTGCACAGAAAGTGAAATGCGGTAAAATCTGCGCGTAAACAATTAGTTTCGACTGTGGCGCCGGCCAATTGCGGGTGCAAAACGCCGGCAGTACTGGCGTGGCTACTTCTTCACGCGCAAATTTTACCGCATTTCACCTTCTGTGCAAGCACACTATATTAAGCGGAAAATCTACTCGACTGTAGCTTCTGTTCATGCTCAAAATTTACCGCGTTTCACATGCACCCTATAATAAGCGGAAAATCTACTCACGCACGCATTGGTAGATACCGCGCTCCAACCACATGCGTGTCACGGCGTCCTTTGAATTCAGACACTTTTTCCGACGGCCCGCGCGCCTTCATGGGCCTACCCTCAGACACTCGCTGCGGCGGCGCGCGCGCCAAGTGCGCGCGGGCGCTCATATCCCCCGCCGCCTGCCGTCAAATGGCGCGCGCGCCGCGAGTAAATGGAACGCGCGCCGCGAGTAAATGGTGCCCGCGCCGCGAGTAAATGGTACGCGCGCCGTGAGTATATGGGACGCGCGCCACACGATAATGGCACGCCGCTCGCACGGTATGAATATTGCCATTCGCCAATTGCCAATTTCAAAAATTCAAGAATTCCAATTTTCAATTTGAATCCAAACTCGGCACCTACTCGCAGTGCTTATGAGGACTGACTCTCAGTGGAAGAACTAGAAGAATCCCACTTGTGTTAATGAGACAACTCCATTGCGAAACAGCGATAACCTCAATGAATTAGCGATAAAGCACCCAAAACGCTGCGTCGTACTTCACGCGGGTATCGCTTGTGCTTACAGCGTGTGGGAATGCGGAAAATATCATGGCACGCGGCTCACTGATAAATTGCGCGCCGCTCGCACTCTCAACTAGGGCGCGCCGTTCGCAATACAGTGCTGTAATGGCGCGCGCGCCGCCGCGCCGAGTGTCGAGTAGGCGCGCCGGCGGCCGTAATAAGGCGCGCCGCTCGCTGGCTGCGAATGATGGCGCGCCGCTCGCACTGCAGCCTCAACTATGGCGCGCCGCTGGCACTGCTGCTTCAATTAAAGCGCGCCGCTCGCACGGCAGCCTTAAATAGGGCGCGCCGCTCGCACTGTAGCGCTATTATGGCGCGCCCGCCGCCGCAGCGAGTGTCTGAGACCGTGCGAGCGGAGCGCCTAGATTTGTGGGCGTTTCATCGTTGCATGTTCATGCAGCGACAATTGCGGAGCCAAATTGTTGCAGGATATTGGATTGTTGGCACGGGGTTTTCGACATACTGGATACCAAATGGTACCATTCTCAAAAATAGAGCTTTATCAACTCAAAGTACGTTTTCGCTTTTTTATTGGGCGCTATTCGGCTATCCGGGCCCCAAAATTTTTTTGTCGTGGATTTCGCCCAAACTCGGCCCAGAGGGGTTATCTGACATGCTGATCACGAATATCGCCTTTTCTCCGCAGGAAAACGCCTCCCTGCAGGGTTACGGTAGGTATACGGTAGAGGGTCAAAATCATAGATTTGCCCGAAACTTGGCCCAGAGGGGTTATTCGGCTCGCTGATGCCAAATATCACATTGGTTTTGACCCGTAGCGTCATTTTCTCGGCTCAAGGTAGCTACACGGTAACGGGTGTAAAACATAGTTCTGCCTGAAACGGGTGTACGGCGATTCGGACGATCGTGAAGCTTTGCACACACGACTACCGCCGCGCGCTACACACCCTGCTGCGGCTTTTGCCTAAGCGAAGCACAAGGGAAAGATACATTTGCCGATTTATGAGTTTGACCCCTACCGTAAACCTACCGTAACTATGCAAGGAGACGTTTTCGTGCGGAGAAAGTGTGACATCTCTAATCAGCATGTCGAATAACCCCTCTGTGCGAAGTTACGGCAGATTTTGAGATTTTGACCCCCTACCGTATACCCACCGTAACCCGAGAAAGTGACGCTACGGCACAAAACCAATTTGATATTCAGCATCAGCGGCCCGAATAACCCCTCTGGGCCAAGTTTCAGATAAATCTGTGATTTTGACCCCTTACCATACCTACCGTAACCCTGCAGGGAGGCGTTTTCCTGCGGAGAAAAGGTGATATTCGTGATCAGCATGTCAGATTACCCCCTCGGGCCAAGTTTGAGCGAAATCCATGACAAAAAAATTTTGGGGCCCGGATAGCCGAATAGCGCCTTTTATTGTATGGTATCTCAAAACCTTGAATTGTACCCTGAATTTATTGTATCGTACCTTGGGTACCTCAAAATATTATTGTTATGTTGACTAAGGAATGGTTTTTTACTTCCGACGTCAAAGGGTGGTAAAATTTTGCGAATTCATGGGACTTCGTCTTCAAAATGCTCCTAACGAGCGGTGCCGGGCCCTGATCTGGGTTGATTGTAAGGCTGAAACAGAAAATTTGCGTTGTAGAACTCGAAAACGGCGGAAGCAGGCGTTGTCAAAGCCTTACAGTTTGAATCTGGGCGAGTGGAGCAGTTCCCGCTTATAAATGTGCGGAAGCAAGTGTAACAGTTCTCGCCACTTTCGCGCGGCACTATCCTAAAACGCTCAACTTTTTTCGGACACTGTCCTCAAGTGCTTGTGGCGTTGTAGCGTCATGTGCCGGAAGCCCTCGGACACGCCATCGTACAAGAAATTTACGCCTTTGAGTGGGAGCCTCGCCTACATGTGGATTTCCTGCTTTGCGGCAGCGTACGAATTTGCGGTTGAAATCGTATAGGGTCCTCAAAGACTGCATCCCAGCCTTGGCGGGGATTGTTTCATTCCATTCAAGGGGCAAGGTTAGGGGAAGGTTGTCTGTTCTTGTCGTTTTCGCGCTCTCCAAAGCGGATATTCGAATTAGCTTGGCGCATCGTAAGCGAAAAGCTCGATTTTGGGTCTATGCCAGAACACTCATTGACTAAGGCTGATGGCCGATACGTCGTTGACGGCATGTTGTCGCATTTTGTAACGTGTTAGCCATACGTGTCGCAGTTCAGAGACGCAGAGCTGTAGCAACATTGGCGGAGTAGGATACAACGATTGCCTCGATGACTACTATATACAACAAGTACCTGCTGCTTTGGGTCGTTTTCAGCTTTACAGTTTGCTGCTGCATCTGAGCATCCAGGCTATTACAAAGACTACTGCATGACGAAGGCGCAGAAGCAGTATTAGTTGAGCGGGCGCGAACGCGACGCGCGTGTCACCTATCTTAGGCCTGTATGCACGTACATCCTCGCTGGGGAGGGGAGGGGATCTGAAAGGGGATGCGTCATCTTGCTACTCCACGTATTTTTCTTCTTCCTTCTCTATCTTGCTTATAAAAGTCCTCATGTCCTAATACTTGCGCGTAATTGATGCCAGGTTACTGGCGTAATTGATAAGATTTTCACTAATTTGTGTGATCCCTTGGGAATCCCCAGGGGATCACCTCTCGATTTCAATGCCCTTTATTTCCCTGAAAACTCAATGACGCTGTAAATTTGTACTGTGGATATACTATGGCGCTGGTAAAGATGTTTATAGTATAAATAAGTGAAAGCTCAGGATATCGAAATCCTCGGTAATCCCTGGCTCACGAGCAAGGGATCATCGAAAAATCCACAATCTTCAGATTCCATTGCTTCTTTCGAAAATATGCTTAGCAGTGCCATAGTATATCCTCACTACAATTTTACAGCTTTTTCATTGACTTCACAGGGATATAAATCACTTTGAAAATGAGAGGTGATCCCCAAGGGATCACGCAAAATGGCAAAAAACCAATCTTGTATGGAAGTAACCTGGCATCCATTATGCGCAGGTATAAGTGTATTAAAAACTTTGTAAGCAAGATAGAGAAAGAAGAAGAAAGATATGTAGAGTAGCGAGATATGACGCATCCCCTCTCAGATCCCCTCCCCTCCCCAGCGGGGATGTACATGCATACGGGCCTTATAAGTCTTGCTCCTCTTGCGCTTCGCGGCTAATAAAGTCGCGCTCGCACCCAAAAATATTGCGCGGGTAGGGGGACGAACTCCGCCAGTTTGAACCGCCCCCGCGGATTACTGTCCTGCAACGACATGCTACGATATGGCAAAAGGACCAGTTGCCAGCGAAGGCGGGATCAAACCAGGGTCCGGCACGAGTCGTTTTCTAGGCTTTTTGAAAACAAAGTCTTCCCTGACTTTCTGAAGTCTTACGAAGTCCTCTTTGATCTGCTTACTTAGGAAAACATGGAAAGAAGAAAGATTTGCTAGTCTCATATATAAAGAAACGTAAGCGCAGTTCAAAAATGTGCAAATAGCGGGAAACTGCATGGCGGTCCCAGCGCGCGAATGCGATCTAGCACCTTTAATTACTGGTCCATTAGTCTAACATATAAAGAATCGTTAACTCTATTCAAAAATCTGCAAACAGCGGGAAACCGCGTGGCGGTCCCGAAGCAAACGCTCTTCCAAGTAGCACCTTTAGACTGCTGGTTCACTAGTCTGGAAGAAAATGTGAGATAAGAGTGAAAATCCGGATTGGAGCTGAATACTACGCATGAACAAGAGTTTGTTACTAGAGCGCGATATTTTTATCAAGGCAATTTATGAAGAAATTAAGGCAAAAAACAAAAAAAGGCAATGATATGAAAATGTCTTCATGCTCAAGGAAGATTTTTGGCCAAGGAATCCGTCCATGATAGGAAAATCCAAAACTTATGTGAAGTGACAAATATATGCTCCAGACGATCTCCGATCATCTGGAGCATATATTTCTGGTGACCGTCTGGAGACGAACTAATTCTGAAAAAGGTTATACTTCACATAAGTTTTCAATACTTTTTGCATAATTCTTTCGCAAATAATTTTCTATGTATACAGTTCAATTTTGGTGTCAGATGATTCTGTGTGCGCTGTAAACAAGCAAGTTGTTTATTTTAGCCTCGCCTTCAAATTGCGCGCACTTTTCGCTTACACGATAGAGCATGTCAATCGTGTGATAACCTATCTGAAAAGCTTGTGCTCGACTAAATGGCGCTTATTCTTGGTGCTTGGCCCTGATTCGTCAAAAACGATATCTTCTTTGCTTTTTGCTTCAAAAACGAAGTCCAGCCTGCTTCCAAACGACCTGCGCCGGGCTCTGGCTCAAACTGGCCGATTTCGTTCCCCTATCCATATTGCGTCACCTCATGCAGCAGCCTAGACTTCCCTTGGTCAAGAGAAGAAATACCGTTGTTAGTTCTTCATCGTGGCTATTGCTCCTCGTTCGGTATAAATCCTCTATGTATAAACTACGCAGCACATCGATGGTACCGCTCCTTTTCTTCAATCTGATTCCTTGAATTGTCCATCCGAATCTTCAAATTCGTTTTTGTCATTGCGACCCATTTTGGCCAACCTCAGATGCGAAGCTCAAGGTAGAAGAATTGCGACAAGCGCGGTGTGCATCGAAGCAAGTTAGGTCAGCTACCTATCTTTTGAGAATTTACCCATGCCTGAGTGGCAGTTGAACTGATCACTTTTCAATTTAGTAATGCATTACAATCATGGCGGGCTTTGGGAGAATGCATTCTTTTTCAGGTCTCCCTTATTTTTGTGAGTCAGGCAAAATCTGTTGATCAGTAAGTAGATTCATTAACTTCGAAATTACTTTCTGTTTGAGTTATCCTGGTGACACTCTTCGCTTATTTTATGTTAAATGATTTGGATTGCACAGCCTGGATGACCAGCTACTGGAAGCGGTGATGTTGAACTACTCTTCTTTTTTCCGTCTTCATGCAAAGAGGTAACAGGTGTGCATCCTATCATCCTCGTTATTCCTGGTTTTATAAAATTTGTATTTTTGCGAAATCGCATAATTTTTTGAATTTTTTATCCTGCATCTCTTGCGTGGCCCATAACCTACCTTCCATTCGAAGAGTCTGCCGCAAAACAGTTTCTCTTCTCTGTTTGAGCACTAAATCTAGTACTAATACACAATCCGAATGCAATAAAAGATGGGGCGCTTCATTAAAACCCAAGTTACAGATTGAAAAAGTAACGAGCGTTCCTCACCGCGGCGGAGAATGTTTCAAAATATATGGGACGTATTACTCGATAGAGCAAAGTAAGTTCCACAAAGCATTGAACCATCGCCAGAGATTGGTCCACATGTAAGGAGGAAAATCTAAGGGTTTTGAATAACTGGTGATCACAACTCCTTCTATATAGCATCCTGCGAAACTTCAACTTGATTAAGCATATAACCACATCAGAGAATCATAGCACACTTGCCGCAAATCTAAGACACCATGAAGCTGGAGCTTGCGAAAATATGAATCATCAGATTGAATTCAGAATTTCGAAGGCTATCGAACTTTAAGAATTCCTTGAATGCTAATAAGCATTTTTCCTTGTTTTATAGACGCTCAGCACTTTTGTTAATTGAAAGTAGTCAAGTCTTCATGTTGAGGGCTCATTCTATCTTTGCCTTCCATATCACTAATTTTCCGATTGAAACCATGAAAACCATCGGGCGGAAAATATCAGGTCGTCTCGAAAGTTCTTGCGCACGACTTCAAAAATTCATAACTTTTGATTTTTTCAACCGATTTGACGGCTTTTATGTTTGTATGAAAGAGTAAGTCATGCTCTTTACAATGACATCTTAGATGCTTGCTAAAGATCATCTGTTGCATAGATAGGAGCGATAGAATAAAATTGGTCAAAAATCGAATTTTCTGTGCAGGGTCATAAAAAATCGGAAACTTGCAACAAAAATCGGAGCAGTCACTATTAAAGGTTCTTTCACCAGCTCTTTCTACCTGTGCAAAGTTTGCGCCGATTGAGCGTCTCTATGAAAAGTTATGATTTTTGAACACGCAATACAAAAGGGCGAATTTGATTTATTTTGGCATTTTTCAGGGAAATCATAACTTTTCATAGAAACGCTCAATCGGCGCAAACTTTGCACTGTTGGAAAGAGCTGGTGAAAACACCTACAATACCTACTACTCTGATTTTTGTTGCAAGTCTCCGATTTTTTATGATCCTACATAGAAAATTCGATTTTTGACCAATTTCATTCTATCGCTCCTATCTATGCAACAGATGATCATTAGTAAGCATGTAAGATGTCATTATAAAGAGCATGACTTGCTCTATCATGAAAAAAATAGAAACAGTCAAATCGGATGAAAAAATCGGAAGTTACGAATTTTTGAAAATCGTGCGCAAGAACTTTCGGGACGACCTAGCATTTTGAAAATTTATCTATTTCATTAGCGAAAGTCATGAAAGACGGATTTTAAAACTGCCTCTCTTAGTTCTCCTGCATGGGGATCGCAGCTTCAAGGGAAAGCTTCATATCCTAAGCTCCAGAAATCCGGATTTCACGCTGTCTACATATCCGTAAATATTTTTACCAACCTTCACTATGAACACATTGAGCGGGAGCAAGAAGCTGTGCAAGCCGCATTTTCCGGCTTTTTGTGTGATCCCCTGATGGTCCCCCACGGCCGAACGTCTTTCCTTCAAAGTCATTATTCTTCCTTCAGAGTTAACGAAAACCTCCCAAAGTTGTACTGATTACCTAAGCCAAGAGTGCTAAGCATGTTGCTGATAAGAACAAATGAGTTTTTGGAATGTCGATTTTTTCGATAAACCCCAACTTTCGATTTGTGGTTCATCGCAAATTTCATGACTTCGGAACATCACTTGTTCTTACCAAAAACATGGTTAGCACTGTCGGGTTAGTTGAACAGCACAACTTTGGAATGTTTTTATCGACTTCGAAAAACGAAAAATGACTTTGAAGAAAAGACGGTCGACAGGCAGGGATCATCAAGGGTCAAACAAAAAGCTGGAAACTGCGGTTTGTACAGCTTCTTGCTCCCGTTCAAGAAGTTCATAGTGAAGAATGGTCGGCAGCATCTACGGATAGGTAGACAGCGTAAATCCAGATTTCTGGAGCTTCAGAAAATGAAGCTTTCTTCTGAAGCTGCGATCCCCTCCCCAGCGAGGATGTTAATGCATGCGGCCCTAAGTTTCTTTGCCAAGTATTTCTGGATCCTTGCCAAATCCTCTCCACAGTGCTCGCGCTTTTAATCACCTCCTGCGGATATGGCGTCAATGCCTTTGGTTCCTCCTACTACGCCGCCGCTCTGATATTCCTCAACGATTGGCTCTTGAACATGGCTAAAAATTTCATTGTCATACTTACAAAGGTTTGTGGGAATTACTTTTGTTAGATTAGTCCAGCATCGCATTTGCCAGAGCATGCCTGCCAATTTTCATTTTCTCAACTTTTAGGCAAGAAAAAATCACAAAAGTGTACACGTGATTGGCTGATGTGATAAGTACTTTTTCTGAGCAATTTGGAGGCCTGCAGGACTTTCTGGACAAAATTTTAGGTTTTGGGTATTCAGTTCCTTTCATATGTTTCTTCCAAAATTCGCCTGTGTCGAGCTTTTCGCAATTGTTCGAATATTATCTTGTCATCTTGCGGTACTTCTCCGTTATCCAAACTCATCAGTTCTTAAAAATGTTCTCAGGAAATACGTGCTTTAGCCTAGAAAAAATTTTTCAGGGGTCCTATGAGGACTGTCTCCCTGCCACGTGTCAGGATAAAAATTGGAACTTTTAGGCTCAGTTTGACATGTTTTTTTTTTGAAATTATTTCCGTGAGGTACAAGAGCGTTTGAGATGACCTAATAGCTGTTCAGCTGTTATCTACAAAAAAGAACAATAAAAAAGGTTTATTATAACAACTTAGTCCCTTTTAGCAGTGATCCAAAAATATCTCCACTCTAAATTGCTTTGCGAATTTAACCAGAAAAGAGTATGAATGATGGCTTAGAGGACCCGGCTGTCGCTTGTTTCGCTGCTCAGATGATTGAGCAATAGCCCACTTCTTGGTTTTGGGCAAATCTAATGTGCTCGTCAAACACAGGATATTATTCTCATAATGCTAGCATCGCATTTGCCAGAGCATGCCTGCCAATTTTCATTTTCTCAACTTTTTAATTAATTAATTAATTAATTAATTAGTTAATTTTTAGTATTTTTGAATTAAATTGGGGTTATAATTAGTTGTAAAATAAGTTGAACTTACAGTAATAGGTAAGCTAAATATTAGGTCGGTCCGAAAGTTCGCGCTGTTTTTAAACCACTTAGAATGAAGAGGGACAAACGCTGTATGCACCTCGGGTACGGAATTTCTTCCTCTTTCTAATGGTTATGTTTTGTTCAGATTCATTGGATGTCCGCTCACTAATCGCCAGGGATCTCCAACACATTTTTACCCATCTTGAGTTTGGCTATCTTTTAGATATTCCACTTTCAACTTTTGGACTAGCTCTGATAACAATTGGATAAGATAGACAAGATGCAACACAACACATTTTTTTGACACCTTTAGCTGGCTTCTCAAAATTTTTGAAAATGTTTTTCTGATGCTCGCAAATTCCATATTTGAGCATCTCAATCTTCACAGAACAACAAACGAATAGCAATCAGGGTATCATTCGATGCAGCTTTTTCTCTCTCTTTTTGATAGTGTTCTTTTCTTTCTAATTTGTATGACATCTGAAGATAAAACCATTGTAATTATCGTTTCCAAACTCGTTTAAGGCTGTAAACAGAAAATTTGGAATCCAAGGTTTCGAACCGCTCAGCGCTCAATTGCTTGCTAAAATTAGCGCCAATTGATAAGCTGTTTTCGGGGGCTTCAAATTTCGAAGACTTGCCACTGTTTGAAGTGATTGTGTATTTCGCGACTTCGCAAAAGTAAGGGCTTTTGAAAAAATTATTTAAGACCGAAAAGTTAGTTGATGAAGCCAAGATAGTTCACTGTATTGCATTTTGTTTGTTTTCTATCCAAATGTTATCAAAGTTAGTCCGAAAGTTGAAAATGGAAATTCTAAAAAATAGCCAAACTTAAGATGGGTGAAAATCATGGGTTAGAGATCCCTGCCGATCATTGAGCGGACATCAAAGGAGTCTAAACAAAAACATCATTAGAAAGAGGAAGAAATTCTGCATCCGATGGTGCTTTCAGCGTTTGTCCATCTTCATTCTAAGTGGTATAAGCAGGGGTCTGAAAAACAGCGCGAACTTTCGGACCGAAATAATTTTGAAACCTATTAACATGTGGATAACATGTCAGTTTTTTCTATCAGTTTTCAGTCTGACACGTAACAGGAGGTTGGCACTATTTCCTTTGAAGTTATGACCAAATTTGTTATAGGTATAAGCAAAATCTCTTCCAAAAAAATGGGTCTGGATAACGGAGAAGCACCGAGCTTGCTTTGCTCTATCATGTTTCATGCAATTTCACATCTTCTCCACCGCGGCAGAATAAGGAGCGCTCATGCGTTCAAGTGTTTGTTAAAGCGCTACAGCATAGCACTGAGGAAGGAGTAGAGTTATACGAAGACTGATAAACTGTTTTATCTATGTTTGAGCCCAAAATGTGTGAGCTTCGATAGTTTTGGCTGCCTCGGTATTGTGATTTTTCGCCAAATTAAATGCAATAATTCCCGACCAGATTCGTTTTGCAGCTGAGAAAGACTGTTTTGAAATCAGCGTTTAAAGCTCTTTTAGGTGGTACCTATTTCAAGTCAAAAGGCCACTGCGACTTCTGACACTTCCCTGTAAGCTTTTCAGAGGTTAAGTTCTTCAATATTCTCATCCCTGCCCTCGACTGTGCAGTACTTGTGGTTGAATATACTCAACAAGACTTACATTGATAGAGTATTATCAGAGGCTTTACTGGAATCAAAAAAAAGGAAGAGAAATGTTGATCGTAATTCTCAAGTTGTGCATTGCACATATAAATGTTGCGTAAATTTGTTCAAAGTACCCATTTTTATTAATGAAGCTCGTGTGAAGACAGCAACAACTAAATATCAAACACAGTCGTTATTATGCACATCTTCTCGCATTGATAATTCGAGGGGTCAGGATTTCGTGCTGAGCATTTCTTGTTTTTCTTGACTACGCCTGAAAAGAATAACCTATTTTGTAAAGCACTACAACAGAAAAAGTTCCAGCTGCAAGGACAACTGCAGGAATGCTTGTTAGGGGGTAGAGGGCATTACACTTTGCCAAAGGCTCCATTTGGTCGGATATCTGGCACAGATTATATTAGGTTGTAAAGAAAGTTCTGCGCTAGATGTTGAGCTAAATTGTTTTATTTATGTCTTCATCATGAGTGGCTGTTATTCAGCGATATTTTGGTCATGTGTACTGATAACCTTATACTACTGATTAGGTACGTCATCAATGCTTTTTTTTTTTCAAGAACCGCGCTGGCTGCGTTTTGAAACATGTGGCGAGTTCGATTTTTTGACCCTTGAATTCAATGAGTTATTTTATGCTTGCAAAAAGGCCCAGGTACCGGGGCAAGTGATAGTCGGATAGCGCTTCATCTAACCAGTATATAGGGTATAAAACGGATTTTCAAATCAAGCCTTTGGAAGTTGTGCGCGTCCATATTCTGAATAATGTGCCTTTTCGCGGATCAAGCGCAACGGATTTTTCTCCTTTTTGGGCATCTCTTCCTAGTTGATGGTCATTTTTGCGAGATGAATAGCGTGCTGGGTAGCTGTATCGCACACTAAGAACACATCTCAAACCATCCCCTTGCATTCGCATTCGTTCTTGTTCTTGGTAGTTATGAAAAGAATTGGCAGAACTTTCTTTACAGCCTAATATCTATTGAAAACACGATTGTGCCAGATATCCGCACTCCTGGATACTGCTAATATAGTGTCCTCTATCACGATTCTTCTTTCACTTACCTAAAATATGCTATTCGACACAGTTGCACGAATCCCACGCAAAACAGAAATATGTTGACGCTGGCCAAGTAATAATTTACTGGAATAATCACGAAGCTATACCGAGCCCAGACGGCTCCTGTGAACATCAACGCTGAGTTCTGCGAAGAAAAAATTTTCAAAATCACAAAGAGGGAATATGTGTGTTCCATGTTAGTAGACTTATCTAGGTACAGAACGATTCATCGTACGCAGAGAAAGTCGTCACTACGAACACTGTCAACCTTTCGCTGATCAAGGCGTCCTCTCGCCGTCTGCCTCTCCCATACACGAACTATTTTAATCGGACGCAAGACGTTATTCTCTACGTGCGCTGACTCACCTACACGTTTTTTGTGGCGCTAACTATATACGGTAGCTGGTCATATTTTTTAGGTCAACTAAAGCGTAGTATTAGGTTGTCCGGAAATTAATGCAGGTTTCTGCAAATGCAATTTCAAAAGGATCATTCTTTTGTGTATGTGCATCTTTCGACCAATTCCGCATACTAAAAGAAGCCGCTCTTCATGCTCTTTCTTATATTTACTACTTCTACGACCAACTTCATTTGTTCAAAATCTACAACCATCCGAAGATGAAGCTTTAAATTAATAAATTTACTCTTTGCATATTTTGGCTTGAACTTATTCGGCAAGAGGGGTATTTCCATGATAATATAGCTGAAGCAAGATATTGAGTGAACCTACAAAATAGATAGTAGCGCATCTTTTGAACGATTGTGAAAGTAGAGAAACTGAGGCTTTAACATGAATAATTGTCGCGGCCACTCCATGGCGTAGAAAACTTTTCTAAAGAAACCAACCGTGAAGATCTCTCCTCGTGCTTGAAGAGTGAGGCCAGTGCCATCAGATATCATCTCAACTGGTACCTCCCAGACTTTATTTTTGGTGAGTTATTTGAAAAAATCAAAATTGTCGGAGATCGCAGCCGTGGAGGAAATATCGAAAAATGGCAAATTTTGATTCCGCAAAATTTTCTCTTGCAGAAAATTTCTGAAAAATTTTTTGCACAGCTATATATGTAGTACTGGTCTGTGGCTATAAACTACAGAAGTCTCTGGCTGAACACTCATATTCGGTAGGAGTTTACAACTTGCCAAGTATGACCTTGTCAAAAGAAATTTCTTTTTACTTTCTGGCTTTCAGTAATTTGCTAGTTGGAGCTACAGTTACAAAAGAAAATGGCACAAATAGAAAAAGACTTGCTGATTACAGTAGTTTTACATCATTTCAAAATATACGACTTCAAACGAGTTATGACGCTTTGAAGTGAGAATATGCAAAACCTGCATTAATTTCCGGACAACCTATTAGATTTGAGTGTGCAACGCACCTGATAAACAGAAAGTTTATTGGCTGGTCGTGCCATGTCTGCAAGTCCTGCTATGACGAGTCCCCATTTGATTGTCGGAGCCCAAAAGAATACTGTTTTTGGTCCGGCCGGATGATTCCATGCCGTTTTTGCAAATGCTGGTAGAATAGGATACACTGTTTTGTCGCCCAAACGGCAGAGAGTTCGATAAAGTACTTGAGGAAGTCCCATCCTAAATTCACTTCATCCAGAGTTGCCCATGCAGTGCCAAGCCAACGCCGGGCTAGTGCCCTGCCGCAATGTCGATCGAGCAATACGGGGAGAGTCACGTGGGCCTCGGCATGGCGCTGGCACGGCGCTGGCACAGCTCCCGGACAATTAATGCAGCCTGATGAACGAATTACCGCGATCAGTATATATATCGATAGTCATTCAATATTTTACACGATGTCATATATCAAATAGCTAGGAAAGTGGCAATACTAATTTTCAGAAGGAAATAATCATATTAATATTTTCGTTTGTGGATGTTTTCGGGGCGTTGAAATGGGTATGAACAGAGAACGTAATGCAAGTTTAATCGTTGAGCAGTTTGACAACACTGTGAAGGTTTCAAGAAGAAAACATCAAGTAATTTGAGAACTTTCCGAGTGCAAAGAAGCAGCTGTAGACGTGCAAAGCTATGGTTTTCATTTGCTGTCGAAACTGGTCAAAAGATCATAGCAAGTCAATATCGTTGATTCGATCTTATGCATCATTTCTGCAATATTGGCCGCTATAGTAAAAATTATATGTTTTGCTCGTTTAGGTTCATAAAAATCAAGTAAAATCAGATTTGTGTTTAGAGCTTGCTCTAGACACAAATTTGATTCCTATGTTTGCTCTATGTTTGCTCTTTTCTACCTGATTCTTTGATTTCTTTTTTTTTCTCGCGTCACAGCGTCAGCGTCAACTTCTTTCTAAGTCATTTCAAGCTCAATAACATAAAATCAGTGCTTTTCATTTTAATCGCCTCGATTGAATCGTTTTTATGCCGGGGCAGTCTCTGGATATCGTGAAAGTACTGCGAAAGCTTGGGAGATCTCGACTACACATAATCATACTCATGTGGTGTACGTCTGGTGCCGTTAAATTGTAAATCCTAAAAGGCACCGTCTACCCAAATTCTCGACTTCCATGTTTTGTCACTTCTTCTGAACGCCCTGATTTCGAATATGGAGTCGAGAATCCGCAAAATCTCCAAAAACTCCCGCTTTGGAGAACAAGCGGGTACCGGTACAATGCAAGTTGCGAGGCTGCGGCGTTGATATACGCCGGGCGCGTCATGCAAAACTGCAAAGTGGGGGGGGGGGGTGTCCAGCTATGCGGAGTGACCAGCACCGGATTATCTCCCTTCCGGAGCGGATTTCACGCTCCGGAAGTAATCTTTTGCTACGCAACTTGGGATTTTGCCTAGTGGGGGGGGGGGGTACACTAGTATGCCATCATAATCTCGTCAACCTCCACTTTGGGTAGACGGTGATCTTGAAGGCAACGTCCAGCCAGAATCTCGACTTCTATTTTTTGTCTTATCCAGGCCTTCATGGCGTTGATTCCAAATATGGCACTCAAAATGCATGAATTTCTCAAAAAAACCCCATTTTTGGGACAATTTTGTGAGAAGCGTGGACGAGTGCTTCTAACGCAGTTCTTGTCGGAGGCAAGCGTCAACAGGTAGACACACTATGTGTTACACTGTGTTCACCATGTGAAAACACGTCAAGGGCTGAGGAGAGTTCGTTCAAGGGGCGGGCCGTGCAGAAAGTGGGCGTCGTCCTCGAGACTCAGCGTTTTCTGCGCCTTTTACAAGGGGTGTACAAAAGTCGGACTTGTGCGATAGTTCTAGATCGAGGGCCTAGAACTCGATTATGATAGTATTCTGTAATGTTCAAATCTGCCGGACGCTGCCTTTAATTAGGAGTCCTGAAAATATGAAAGTGTGATTGCGACTTCATTTTTCGGCAATGAAATCTATGACAAAAAAAAGGTGAATATCTTTTGCATGTTATCGTTGTTCTCTTGTCTTCCAGTTCAAACTCCCCTCCTTCTGCTCAGCGCCAGCACGAGGGTGCCAATGGGCATCGGTGAAGCGACTTCATCTTTGCCACTATCGATTTTTACGATTACCCACTTGATCCCGCCAGCCCAGTAGCTCAGTTGTACGATTGGAGCGCGCTTTCTTCCTCAAAAGGTCCGTCTTGTTGCTATTCCACATCCTAACAAAGAGGAGAGGAGGAGTTTTGAAACTAAAATGTCGGTATATGCTAAACTCCAGGAGTAGAATAGATTTATGTAAATATTTTGAAGAACTTATGTGAGGAAGTTTAACCACCTCAGGTGGGCATTAGGTGGTCATTTGCCACCTAGTTTGGAAAGAAGTTAAGCCCTTTTATTCACGCAAGTCCTTCATAATTTTTATATTCTGTTCCCTAGTCCAACTGCGCGTACAACAGCAAATTCCGTGCCATATCGTCATCTGTGCGTTGCAAGCGAGAGATTTTATCATTTTGTAGTGTTGAGAAATTTTCCAAGAAAAAGCATGCCACCACCTTCACTCACACAATTTTTTCACCATACTGCCTATGCTCCTCTTAGTCCATGTCCGTTAATACTCCAAATTCTTAGACCCGTATGCACGTACATCCCCGCGGGGAAGGGAGGGGATCTGAGAGGGGAAGCGCCATATCTCGCTAGTCTATATATCTTTCTTCTTCTTTTTCTGTCCTGCTTTTGAAGGTTCTCATACACTGATACTTGCGCATAATGGATGCCAGGTTACTGCCATACAAGATTGGATATTCACTATTTCGTCTGATCCCCTGGGGATCCCCAGGGGATCATCTCACATTTTCAAAGTCATTTATCTTCCTTAAAAATCAATGAAAACGTTGCAAAATTGCACTGCAGATATACTACGATACTGCTGAGCATATTTTCGACGGAAGAAATGGAATCCGAAGATCTTGATTTTTTTGATAATCCCTGGCTCGCGAGCAGCGGTTCATCGAAAATTTTGATTCTTTGAGATTTCACTCAATTCTACCATAGGCATGTTTAGCAGTGCTGTAGTAGATCCCAGTACAATTTTAGAGCATTTTCATTGAGTTTTCAGGAAGATAAATGACTTTGAAAATGTGAGGTGATCCCCTGGGGATCCCCAGGGGATGAGACGAAATAGTGAATATCCAGTTTTGTATGGCAATAACCTGGCATAGATTATGTGCAAGTATCAGTGTATGAGAACCTTCAAAAGCAGGACAGAGAAAAAAGAAGAAAGGTATATAGATTAGCGAGATATGACGCTTCCCCTCTTAGATCCCCTCCCCTCCCCGCGGGGATGTACGTGCATACGGGCCTTGGTCATATCATTATGTGTGCGCTGCCGAGGCATTCAATTGCATTTCAGTTGAAAACTGAGGACTTGAAGATGACGCGAGAAAGATCGTGCTTTTGCTGTCGAAACACTGTATGTATCATGTAAACGTATATTTACGATATCCCCTTTCATCGAAAATGATTTTCAGCTTGACATTTGCCCTCGTCGTTCCGAGCCTTGTTTCTGCTTTGTTCGTTTCCAGAGAAATGCCAGGTTGTCTCAAGAGTAAATCAGTTCCGAATAATCAAATTGTTTATTACTTTCCACGTACGCGATATATCTCGGCATTTTTGAATGTCTTGGAAAACAAATTGTTTTTGTTTTTCTAGCAGACTTATGGTATCACTCGATAAAGTAAAACAATCTCCACAAAATGACCACCAGAGATCCGCTTAAGTCATAATCCAGGTAAAGGTTGGAGCAAAAATTGAAAAAAAAAGTTGTCTCAAATTTGGGTTTTGCAACAAAAATCTTACGGACCATAAACTTGGTCATTATACAGCAGACATATAGTAGTACCCAAATATGCCTTGCTTTGTTAGTTGAGAAATACCACGTTTAACATTAAATAAAACCGGAAAAGTGACATATATTTTCGAGCCTTGATTCCTCACTTTTGCGCCCCGGAAAAAATTTTATCTACTATAATATATGTGTCCACTGTATAATGACCAAGTAGGAGATCCGTAGGAATTTTTAATTTTTGGCTTCAAATTTTATTTGAATCACAGCTAAGACGGATCTTTGTTTGTCATTTCGTAGAGCTTGTTTCAATAACGAATGGTGCCCTAATTATGCTAGGAAAAGGAAAGCTGTTCGATTTATTTAGAAATGCTGTTTACTTTCGGGACAGCTTAATATGTTTGTTGAAATATTAGGTTGTCCCAAAAGTTTTGTCCGTTTTTTCAAACAACTATAAAGCCAGGCTCATCAAAGATCTGAATAAGTTTCAACATGCATTCGATGCAGCCTTTCCTTCTCTTTCTTATGGATGCATTTTCGAACCATAATCTCGCACGCCTTTTTTGATAATTGCCAAAATTCGCCACCGTGCGATTTTATCTGGTCAAAGTTTGGCTAATTTTTAAACGTTCCATTCCAAAGAGGACTACAAAATAGTACTTATATTCTCCCAAGCTGTTTTTAGCTTTGAAAAATTATATCTTCGGAGGCCTCGATTTCAAGCGAACTCATGAAACACGCAACTGCCGCAAATACACGAAAGCAAGTGAAGTTTCTGCAAATCAAAACATGATTCTTATTAAACATAATTCCTCCAACATAACCAGGTTTGGTTTGCTTTGAAAAAGCAGCTTTTTGGAGTTTTCGATACTTTTACGTGGTAAACGTAATCAAAAAGGCGCGGTTTCTTATTGAACAAATAAGTACACCGGACTTGATAAGCGTCGCATATATAATCTAAAACGGATACAATGTAGCCAAAGATTTGTTCTACATATCGGCTATCAAAGCTCTTTCAAAAGATTAGAATACAATTTTCAAAAATTCAGGAAAAATTTGGCGTTAATGCTGAGCTGCTCAAAAAGCCATGGCGATCACATTCCTAAGAAAGGGTAGATTAGAGGGCAAACATAGCTGTAAGGAAGAGGATAAAAGTTTGGATCAAATAGTACCTGAGATATCCATGGATTGGTTTTGTGAGTTTTAGCGAGCGATGAAAGGAACGGACAAAATTTTTGGAACAACCTAATATAATTCGACGTAGTAAGACTCAATTCTAATTCTCTCGTGAATCATAAAATGATGGGCATGAAAACAAGAATAAAGGTGGATTCTACTAACGTTGCCACATCATTCATGCCATTTTATTTTCCTTTCCTTTGATGTCCCAGTAGAAGATGTGCCTGGGTGCCAACATAAATGGGCTTGAGTGAGACTGAGCTTCTTATTCGTACCACTGTCCTACAGTATAGCCACAAACCAGTGCTTTTTACAGTTTTGCCTTTGCATTA